CTGACATCTCATTAGATAAGATGCACCACTGCAGAATGTTCCAGAAATGTGATGAAAATTCTTGTCTGCCTCCCATCTGTATCCTTACCTTCAAAATTGGAGGCTTAAAGGCCCCGGACCTTTGTATTTATTTACACACACCTTCCTTTTCTAACATGCCTTTCGCTTGTGGTCACCCACAAATACTACCCCATCTCCTGACATGTACTAAACCCAGGCAGATCAAGAGAACTAACGTTAAAACCCAGCAGATTGTTTTTAACAGTGGAAGTGGAGCTGGAGACAGCAGCAGCCTCTAAGGTGATGAGACTAACAAGCTTGTGATGATAAATGCACTGAGCTGAAGCAAATCACAGCAGCAACTCAAGGCTGAGAGACTGACCCTGTCTGTGGTCCAATAACCCTAGAAGAAATAGAACCCCTCCCTGTCTCAAAAGAGTGGCAACTGTCCCAAGAAAGAGGGACATCAGATGTAGCTTCCAAATACACTGCGGTGAAGCTAGCCAGCAGAGACAACCTTCCAAATGGCAGGCTGGTGGTCACTGTGCCTTCAGGTAAGAAAGGCCAGCTGTCCCATAATGTTCATAAAGACTGGAATATTCCTCCCCTTAAATACTGATCTGGTGCCACAACCACAGTATAGTGTCATGTTGAGCACCTGTATACAGTAGGTACCGAGTCAAGGATGGGACCAGCTATCATCTTCAACAGATACTGTGAGTTATCAAAGACATTGCTTCCTCTCTTAGAACCAAGATAAACAGCATATTAGTGAGTTTTGTACTTTTCCCTTTGATTTTGTTTCACACAGAAAAGCAAAAAGACACAAGTGGAAAGCAAACTATTACACAGAAGCTGAAGAGAGGAGGAGAGAGTAGAAGGAAGGCATGACTGAGAGAGGACAAAGGAGAGAGGCATGGTGAACTTGATAGCTTTGCTATCTCCAAACCCATGCACCGTCCAGTAAGACAACGAAGGAGGAAAAGACTTTCCTTTTCTTTTCTGACAGCTGGAGCATAAATGGTGACTGCAGTGATATCAGAAATTATTGGATATGTTGAGCATTCTTGCGAGTGAGGTGCCAGCATTCCAACAACTCTGAAATACTGGCCCCAAGGTGCCCTAGCATTTTGTTTTTCCAACGCAGGAGTGTCACTTGCAGGAAAGGAGTAATGCATGCTGGCTAGTGAGCAACATGCTGGCCAGACACCATGTTTGGACAATGTCAACCTGCACTCTGGGATCCAGCTCGGCCATCTTTTGCAAACAGTACTGGTCACAGTAGCGGTTTCTCTCAGAGATGATCAAAACTGAGAACAGTGTTTACAAATCACTAGCCCAGGACGGAACTCAATTTCTGACATGCCACCTCTACAGATGTTTGAAGAAACTGGTCTGGCTCCATCTCAAGGAAATTGATTACTTACAGCTCCAATCTAGTTAACACCCATCTGAGGAGAGCACAGATAGCTTCAGAAATAAAAGCGTTCAATCCTCATCATTTTGCAACTTTTAAAAATGTCCTCAAATATATCAGACAACATTATCACTCTAATTTAATTAGAAAAATTAGTTAGGAAAAGGCAACATTATAAAGCCAAGAATTGATAAGGCAAATATTTCATCCATAACAACATTTAAAGTGGATCTCAAACATCACATAAACTCTAGAGACCCTTTCTATTAAGCTAAAGTCTACTTGCAGACAAGTCAGACTGACTTTTCCATACCAACTGTGATCACTAGGTAGCATTGCCGTGCCCTAAAGCCTTTAGAACAGTAACATTTACACAGCCTGGCAATCACAGCTTGACGTGCTGAAGACTGTCTTCTGTCAAAACACTGTGAAGGGACCGAAGAAACAGCTCAGTGGGTAAAGTGCTTGCTACTCAAGCATGACGACTTGAGTTCAATCCCCAGCACCCACAAAAAGAGACAGACATGTTGACAAGTTCATAATCCCAATGTTGGTAAGGTAGAGGAGGCTGGTGAATCCCTGGGGTTCACCGGCTAGCCGGTCTGGCCTAATTGTCAAGTTCCAGGTCAGTGAAAGATTCTGTCTCAAGGAACAAAGTGGAAGGCTCCTGAAGAAAGACACCCGTGGTTGATCTCTGGTCACACACACACACACACACACACACACACACACACACACACTAGATTTTTAGATGGGAAAAGATGACTGTACTTTTCATTATTTGTCAGAACTCCTATGATCTGTATTAGAGAATCACAATGGAGAGAGACAGCAAACAAGAAATTCGCACAGGGCAGCATTCCTATGTGTTCTACACTGGTAACCATTTACAGTGCTGCAGTCCTCCCCAGGGTGTTTCTAGGACGTCGTCTATAACCCATGAAGACAGAGTGGAAACAACACACATCTGTCTTGAGTGTCTGAGCAGAGAGCATTATGATGGGGGCAGGCAGGAAGAGAGGGAAAATGCCACGAATCTGGCCACTTCAGATCACACGTTCAAGAATTGCACTTCAGCAGTGAAGGAGAAGCGGAAAATTGGCATCAGTCAATAAAACAGCAATTTCTCTCCCTCTTCTCTCTCAGCCATTCTTGAGCAATGCCCTGTTAGGACTAAAGGCCTTGGCTGAACCTTTGGTTGACTTCCGTATTAATTAGCACTGTAACGAGAGCCTAGTTCTTCATGAAGGGGGAGCTGTTGAAACTTCCTAGCATAGATTGGCCCTACACTCCTCTTCAATTACTTTGCTAGTCATATTAAAAAAAAAAAGGCCTCCACAGAGAAGTTATCAAGTGGTAAGCCCACAGAAGATGTGGTGCCAAGGTAAAACAACAGAAAAGCCATGAAGTCCTGTTCTATGTGTGTATACACATAGACCATTATACAATGACTAGCGAATGATAATGACTTGATGTGTTTATGACCTAGCCGGCATTGTTTAAAATTATTACTTATGTCACAACAAAACTTACACACACACACACACACACACACACAAATGTTCAGATAATTCAGACAGACTTTAAATCCATGGCTAGATATTGTGAGTAAGATTTACTGAACCTAGCTTTGTTTATCAATCACATTTCATCTGGCAATTTTTCCCTGAACATTAATGAAATAATGCTGTTTTTAAAAAATTAAAATGTTATGCAGAGGCAGAGTCAGGAAGGTTGCTGCAAGTTCAAGGCCAGCTAGGGCTACATAGTGAGACCACATCTCAAAGGGACAAAACAGTTAGATTCTCTCCATGAAATCTCCATGAAGCCTATGCGTTTAAATTGAAAACTAATAGCAATTTGAGACTATGAACTTATAAAGTCAATTCAAAATTAGTAATCTGAGACTTAAGAACAACAAATAATGATATCAAAGTCACCTGTCAGTTATTTATAGGCAAACAGGAAAAGATGGCAGCTCTGTTACTTAACAAACATAGCTTACTATCATTAATTTTCCCTCGAAAAAGTGCACTGCATATACTCCTAGAATAGATTTTCAAATTCTCACATCTTGCATGTTACAACATTCAAAGTCATTCCAAGTAAAAGAAAATATGGCCATTTACTTTCAAGCACCTAGATGCCACCACCAGCATATTCTTCTTCTCTAGACCAACTCTTTATTTAAAATCTTCTCACACCCAGTTACTGCACTCAGCGTCAGAATAGAATAGTAATGACTTAGGTTCAAATACATAGGAATCTCAATGCATCTATTTGGATAAAAATAGTGAAATAGTCACCTAGTTCCTTGTTTTTGTTTTTCTTTTTACCTCTTCATCCTGTGGTGTCTCAGACACATCCGACTGCCTTTACAAGTATATGGAATAGCACTGTCCACAGGCTACATGATGAGGAGCTGGCATTGTGTCTGGGCTCTACATGTCTGCTCTTAGAGCAATACTGATATTCCCTCCAGCCCGTTCCTCACTACATTCTAACGTCTCTGGGCCACAGAAGTAAACGTTGGCATTCTGCATGGGCTAAGGCAGCACACCGTCTTTCTTCTGCATGCACAATCAATTCACAATCTCATTCAGGATTCAGGGCTCCTGCTAATCAAAACCCTTAATGACATTCTTGACCTCAGTGTGTGATTTCCAGTTGTCATTGTCAGCTAAAGAAACCTAAACTGATCCACACCCCCAGGCAACACGCTTAAGAAAAATAATCCCAGTAAAAACTACAAGAGGAAAAATCAACGCAGAACTTACATAAAGAACACTGCATCCTTAATTTTAGTAAGCTTGCTGATTATTGCCATCTTGAAGTTACCTAAGCAACCACTCTAAAACCCAAGCGAAACCCAAATGTGTCTGTAGCTCTATGCCTAGAAGTTTGATGCTGAAAGCACGGCAGAAATCCGTCAGATATGTTTGTGGAAGGGGGAATCTGGATTGCACAGATCTATCCCATGGACACACGACCCTAGAGTATAGATGCTATAGATAAAAACACCAGAAACAATACAAAGTACAAAATTAGATTAAAACCAACAGAACTAGAGTCATTTAGTTGTGAGTAAACTCATGAAAGCATATACACCCACGAATATAATCATTCTTGCCACACATCTGCAACGTGGTCTCGTTTTATTTCCAAAGTATGGTGCACTTGAGAAATTATTATAATCTAAATGTTTGGAAGGGTTACTAGGAAAAGCCTCTGGAAATTACAAGGGGTGCTGTTAAATCAGGGGGAGCAAACAAAACTCACTGAATGGTCAAGCGTGCAGTGATTGCTAAGGACAGGTGACGCTAACAATCAGCAAGGAATATGCTAGGTCTCATCTACTTCTTGTCACTTAGAAGCATCCAACTGTCTTCTAGCATAGTACATAATCATTGATGATCCGGGAATTCACAAAATTGATAAATACTCTGATTCAAATAAAGGACATAGAAAGGAAAAAAGGGAGGAAGGAAGGAAGGAAGGAAGGAAGGAAGGAAGGAAGGAAGGAAGGAAGGGGAAAGAAGAAAGCTGAAGGTTCCCTTTTCTGAGGGAAGTGCAGAATTCTTACCTTTCTGTATACCAGCATGTTCGGTGATTCATCTGCCACCCCGTTGCTGGTCTGTCCATAATTATTCCCCTGAGCCATTTCACCCAGAACTTGGTCCCTCCTTTGCGAGGATGATCAGTCCGCCCTGCAAAGGATCAGAGAGGCTCCAGTGAGATCCTGGTGGGAGTCCTCAAGAGAACAGACTCCCCTGACTCATCTTCATGTCCACAGTACCCAATCCACGGGGAGAAATCTCCCATCCCCGGGCTGACTGGAAGGACACGGGAAATAGACTTAAAAAGACAGAAAAAATAGAAAAAAGAAAAGGAAAGGAAAAGGAAGGCGTTTACAGCTGTAGCAGCCTCGGGGAATTTTAACGGACAGCCTTCCAGTGAGAAACAGTCATCTGGCTAAGGTTTCTGTGGGCTTCATTTTATAGACACTCTTTGAAAGTGTTAAGTACTCACTTAAAACCCGTGGTTTGCACTTCTCTAGTGCCGACAGCTCTCTCGGATGCTTGCAGCACCACTTGATGTGGTCCTCCCCAAAGGGCGGAAAGCCAACACCCACGGCAGCCCACTTTCTCCCAGTAGCCCAGTAGTTTCCCATGACAGGCACGTCAGAGGCCCCTTCCCCACAAGTGTTTTCCTGCACAGTCTCCTCTCCATTCCTTGGGTCCCCCACACAGCCTGGGCAGAGGCTTCTCCACTTTCACCTGCCTTCACAGCCAGCCCATGGCTCCTCTGCTGCTCCCACCTCACTCGGAGCACTAAGTCTGAACCTAATCCTTACTGATCTTTGGAAGAAAGCGTCCGAATTAGGTTCAGGCAACCGGAGGCTGGTGAGAAGTCGAGCCTTGAGCAAATCACCTGGCACACCGCGGAGAGCAAGCTAACTGCACAAGCCTGGAGCGATCAGCCAGGAGCGCAGAAAAAGCTGCTCATCCTGCTTGGCCCTCGCTCTCAGCGGCAGCAAATGGCAGGCAGGCAGGCAGCCTTGCCCCGCACCGAGGCACCGGCGGCACCGGGCAGCAGTTTCAGCACCGTGGACCGCGGCGTGCGCAGCGCCCCAGCCCGGCCCGGCGCGCGGCTCCGGGGGGGGGGGGGGGGGGGGGGGGGCCCAGGGGGGGGGGGGGGGGGGGGGGGGGGGGGGATCGTGGCTCCCGCCGGAGTAGGATGAGAGCTGGGTGCGGGCCGAGGGGTCCCAGGGACTCCGGGTGGCGCCGCCTCCTCCCCTCCAGTCCCCTCCGTTTACCTCCTCGGCCAAGGTCACGGCCCCGCGGCTCCCCTCCGGGCGTGCTGCGGGCAGGCGCTGTCAGCTGGCTGCGAGCGGAGCAGCGAGGCAGGGCAGCCTCATCACACTCGCGCTGCTCAGGCCACCGCCACCCTCGCCTTGGTGCACAGGCGGCCCCGGCAGCCGCCGCTCGCGCCCGCTCCCCCGGGCCGCTTCGCTCGCTCGCTCCCTCCTCCGCTTCTCCTCCCGGGGACTGGGACCAGTCGAGCGCGCGCGGGAGTCGAGACGCCCGGCCCGTGCGCGCGCGACTAGGAGGAGGGAGGAGGCGACAGTCACGTGGGACAGGGACGCCCGAAGGTGCCGGCTCGGACGGGCTCGGCTCCGCCGCCGCCACACCCCTGGGTGTCCCCGGTCTCCCGACCCCGCAGCCCCTCGGAAGCACAGGCCCTGTCCCTGGCGCTGGTCAGACCACGCTCCCGCGCCCCGCCCGCGCCGCCTTTAGGCCTGGAGACCAAACTGAGCTAAGCAGGAGGAAGGGCTTTGGCGGAGGGTGGGTGGATGGCTGGGTGGGTGAATGGGTGGGTGGGTTGATAGAGAGACGAGGCCCCCTACCGCTGGCAGGTCTGCGTCGTGCGCCTGGCGACCCTTCTGGCAGAACTAGGGAAGCAAATGATTGATAATCTTTATGCTTAAGTAACAGCACAGAGAGATGCTGGAATAGCCCAGATTTGAAAGCAATGGCCAGGACCAAATTCAGCAGCCCCTCCTCTCCTGTTTGCCTGTGGCTTTCACTGTCTCCTCCTAAGTTGGAGAAACGCGAAGGAATTTGGAGGCCTTGACCGAAAGGGAACAGTCTCGCCACCTGTGACATTGAAAGACCATGGCTGAAGTCTAGCTGTTTTAACAGGCTGGGCTCAGAGGAACGTGGCTTCTGTTGGTCCTTGTACTCCGCCGGGTTCACAGAATCACAAAGGGTCTGCGATTGCTGATACCCATGAACTCTTCAGGTCCTCGCCACTGATTCCTCAAAGGTTAGAAAGACACGAAAGAGAAAAGTGTTCATCAGTTTTCTGGGACATTAGGAAGTTGTAGGAGCCTAAGAATCTCTCCACCAGTTCCCCAGGTCTTTCCTTCCACTGCTCAGCAAAATTCTCTTTGTTTCCAATCTTTTTGAATGGGCCCTTGGAATTTTTACTCGAACCCTGCTGCTCTCTCTCCAGTACTCCCCCACCCCCACCCCTTTCCCTTTGCTCTGTCTACTGTCCGGATACTCACTTGGTTTGGATGGATAGATATGAAAAGAGGGACAGATGGACAGATGGATAGATATGAAAAGAGGGACAGATGGACAGATGGATAGATATGAAAAGAGGGACAGATGGATAGATATGAAAAGAGGGACAGATGGATAGATGGATAGATATGAAAAGAGGGAAGGGCCTGAAGGAGTTTCTAAGGCTAGTTGCAATCGCCAGGAAAGGACTAAGGAGGAAGATTCAGTTTAGAGACAACTCATAATTCCTGTCACTATGTAATGGACACCTTAAAATTCTCAGGACTCCCCACTCTTCAGAATGAGACCCATCGTATCTTAGATTTTAACATTCACCTTCATAATTTTCTCAGGTAATGGAGACTTGTGTGGTATAAATAAGAAAAACAAACATGGGTATTGCTGGGCCTTTTTTTCTGTTTTAAAACCCTAAGTATAACATAATCACAACTGTCATCATTCAAATTCATTTTACTATTTTCTCTATGAACCATACATGTTGTAATATTTTTGTTTTAAAAAAATTAATTTTTGAATGTGACAATATTACATGCCAGGTGGGACCTCTGATCAGCAGGCAAAAAGCCTGCTTGTAGCCTTATCACACTCTGCTCCCAAGACATTTAAGAGCTTTTTTTCTTTATGTTTAACTTTAACAGTTTCACAGTGGGAACGAAATCTAATTGTATTACTATTTTTGAAATATGATAAATAGTGTCTATTTTTGTAAATAATTCCGAGTTTAGGCATCCTAAGTTACTACTTTCTGATGTAGGCATGAATTTTCATTCTGGAAGTAGTTACTTATTTACTGTGAGTGAAAGTTTCCTTTTTTCTTCTACAAAGAATTTAAACAAGCACAGTAGGTGTCTTTTGTCCTTAAGGAGTCTCCAGTCAAGTTGGGGAGATATAAAGACCTCCTTTTCTCATGCCTTGCATCCAGTCCCGTCAGCAGGTCCCAGAGAGAGCATCCAAAGGGACCGTGTCAAGTGCAAATGCTATGTGATTTCCGTACTTAACATCTCCCAAAGGACTCTAAGCTGCCCAAGATGAAAGATGTCCTCAAGACACCAACAATGGGGAGGATTATATGAACATGCCCCTGCCAGTTCTAAAGTTGGTGTGCTAACCTGGTGCCCTAGTTGGCTTTCTGTTGCTGTGATAAGATGGTGATCAAAACCAACGTGGGAAAGGAAAAGGAACGTTGGTCTTTCAGGTTACAATCCATCATCATGGGAAGTCAAGGCAGTAACCTGGAGGCAAGAGAAGCAGGGACCATGGAGGACCAAGCAGTTTAATGGTTTACTTCTGCTGACTTGCTCAGATACATCTCTTATTTAGCACAGGGCTCCCATTCTAAGGATGACTCCACCAACAGTAGGCTAGACCCTCCTACAAAAAATGCCCCACAGACCACAAACTAACCTAGGCAATTCCTCAGTTGAGATGAATCTAACTTGTGTCAGTTAACGGAAACTAACCAGCGTACTTGGCTACTCTGCTCCAGGCATAGCGTCTTTGTGTTCCTTTATGCCATATACGTATGCTTGTGCCTCAGGGCATTTGCGCTGGCTTTTCCTGCTATCCTATCCAGAATGTTCGACCTTCAGATGTTGGTGTCACTCTTCCACTCTTACCTCAAGGGATACCTTCTCAACAAGGACAATTATGTTCTCAATGAAGACAATTACACTCTCAAGTCCTACCTAAAATAACCCATCCTCCCTGTAGTCTTTTACACTCTTGCACTAACTGAGTGTCTGTTCCTTGTAACAGGACTGCAGCTTGCTTATAGATTACACTTGTCTTTCTCCTTAGGTTCCATGACGGCACAGACATTTTCTCTCCTGTTCACTGCCCCATCCTCCAGACATGGAGGATCTGTCTGACAAGGGTAGAAAGAACTTTAATTACTTATGAAGCCGATGATGGGGTGAGGTCATGAGCACGGTTCACTGTGAACCTCTGGTCAGACTGGAAGAACAACTGTCGACGATACTGAACTGAGCTGAGTAGCACCAAGACCCATCATAGACAGGAATGACCTCCCCTTTGAACCTGCTTCCTCTCTATCATCATGGCAACGGACAGCTCCCCACATCACACACCCGCTTCACAGAGGGATGCTCTTAGCACGAATTAAATGGTAACATGGAGACAGCATTTTGATTTTCGAGAAGAAAACTCATTATTAATATGAGGCTCTTGCGATGTAAAAACATTGAAGCGACAAGGCAAGCAGAGAGGGAACACCATTCACAGTAGCCCATTGATATTTTACAGGGTAAATTGATTTAAAAGTGATATAAGGAAGTGTGGCTTTAGATCTCTAAGAAATAGCTTCTCTGCAATCAGCTTGCTATTATTTATAGCCCAATAAACTCATTGTTGAATTATTCTCCACTCTGGAAATCCCTTTGGCCACTTTGCGGCCATTTCCCTGGTAATTATCCACACCAGCATCAGACAAATGAGAAAGGAGAACTAGGGTTTCTCTATACTGTGGGCTGCTTGGCTCATTTTCCTGCTGAGGGGTTTGAGTTCTGATTTAAAGTAATTCCAAAATTATCCACTTTTCTAGTGTTGGCCCCTTTCTGTTAGTGTGCAGTAACTGAGCACACGTCTCCAATGAGACTCTGAATGATGTCCAGAAGAGAATCCAGAAAGTGTACAGACTTAATGGCACAGCATGAGGAAGGCTTCCAAGGGCCATGCCTTTGACTCAGTTGCTTAAAATGTAAGGAACAATGAGCAAACAGGTTGACCGGCTTCGTCTTCAGTTCCTTCATCTACAAAATCAACTCATGTTCTGGTCCTCGTTTTGTCCTCCTGAAAAAAAAAAATGTCTTTAATTTGAGGTGTGTTTGTCAGTCTTGTATGACTCTAGCAAATGTCTAAGTACATCAGTCTGTAAAGAGAAAAGGCTCGTGTGTGCTTCCGATTTTGAAGGTTCAAGTCTGTAATCAGTTGGCATTTTGGCTTTTAGGTCTGTGGTAGGAGTGTGAAGCCAGCAGAGCCACTGATGTCTTAGGAGTGGAAAACTTTGAAGAGGGGAAGCCTGGGCTCCTTTTGAGGTCACACCCTCATTGATTAAAGACTTTTCACTGTGCCCTTCCCCTCATGGTTCCACCACCCCACAACAGCTCCGTGCTGATGACCGTACTGTTAACACATAGGCTGTTGAGAGACACGAGCAATACGCATGGCAAATCAAGCTCGGAAAGACAGTCTACATCGATATCCATATCAAGAGAAATGGTGAGCTAGAAATCTACAATCATTTCTTCTGGGAAGATGCTAGGAGCTTCTATGTCTATAATCATCGAGAAAATTAAATACAACAGAGAGTGTGTTGCACTCAGAATATGAAAACTGAGAGGTAATAACTGCATGGTGAGAGAGAAAAGGTAGAGTCCATGAAGGACTGCAGAGCATGCCCACAGCAGGCCACCCTGGGACTCTCATCAAGTGACAGCTGAGCTCAGCATTGCCCTGACAGGCAGCTGACTCCTGGAGATGGGGAAATACAGAGCACCCAACTCCTGTTTGGCTTCCCAATTCTCAGCAAAGAAAAGCAAGCATGAAACTTTGAAGAAAATCATAATTACAATGGCATGGGGATGAGCAGGAAGAGGCTAGGTCTCAGAAGCAAATGAAGAAACTGGGCTTCCACGGCTTGCTTCCTTTCTCAGAACTGTACATCTGGGAGAGTTGGGCTGAAATAATTTCAGCACCTTTAAATGCCAAACCTGGTGCTTCCCACACTATGCAACTTCACCTCTGAGAGGCAACTGAGATCCTAGGAGACAGAAGAAATAGTAAAGGACAATCGGTGGGGTTGGGCTCTGGAGTCAGAGCAGGCCAAGCCATTGGGATAGACAGGACTTGGCAATGCAATTCTTGGGGACTCTGAAAAGCATGCTTTAAGCACCATCACTC